TCCTTGTCACCTTCTAAGGTTTTGAACAAATTACTCATTTCATCATATTTTACCCCAGCAACAGTTCGTAGATAGGAAATATCTCCAAATAATCTTTTAAAGTCATTAAGCATCCATAATCGATCTCTCTTAATTTGCACCTTTTAGGCTCTATTTTTTGTATACCTATATTGTATCCTAAATAATTAATAGGGTCTTCTCTTTGTATCTTTTTGGGAGCAATGTGTAATCTTGAACAAGGCAAAATTTTCATTACTTTTGGGAATCTGTCAGAAGAGTGGTGGTACTGACCCTCCCCACTTCTGACAGTGGCTAACTCAGGCACCTATTATTTCTCTGAGAAGCTGTCATATGCCCTCTGTCACATGCCAAATATTGTTTTAAACACTGCCTGAATATTTATGTACTTACCTTCCATCCAACAGAATAAGGACTGCATCGACATCCTCAGTGATAAGAACTGAGGCAAATATCACATGTGGAATTTAACAGAGAGTATAAAATTATTATAATCTGAGGTAATTATTTCTAAAGCAGATCATTTTTTTTCTCTTGAGGGGAGGGAGTGTCTTTTGTTTGGTTTTCGACAGTGCCATTAACTAGAATTATATTCAAACTCAGTCCCAAGATCTTGATGCTGAGCTTGAAGAACAATGGCTAGATAGCCTTCAATGTACTACCAGGGACTCTTGTATTATCAGCCACTAAGCTGATCATGTCCAGTTAGTTCTAAGCCCATTCTCTGAGCAGCAGTAGTAGGTGGAGGGTGAGGTCCACAGAAATTTTCTACATGTTCATGCAAGGGTCCTGTGGACAGTGTGTGTTCCCACCTTTCTCCCATCTCTCTTCCCCAATTATCTTGCAATGCTACACAATTCACCCTTCAGTGTCATCTCTACAACCTAGGAGGAACAGGCAGCGTGCGCATGTGCACAGCCACAAGCTAAAACTCATTCTGCACACATACCCTAGAAATAAGGTTTAACTTCCCAGGACCTTTTCAAAAGCCTGTTCACAGTGGCTCCCTCAGTTCCTCATATTTGGGCCACACCCACCATTTGTGCACCAAGGCAAATACCACCTACCTCAGCAGGAGTTCAAAAAGCCCAGAGCAGTCAGTCAGGGAGGGAAAAGCCTATAGTGCTCATCTGGAGAGGAGCATGTGGATGTCAACCATGAGGAACATGGAGAAGTGTTGAGCATGCGCAGAAGGACACATTGACGTCACCCTTTCCTCAGTAACTCTCTTGACGCCCTCTCAGTAGTTGAGACTGACCAAACAATAGGCCTTGAGTGTGGGCATTCCTGGGGCCCCACTTCTCTCTGTGGCTTTGGCCCACTACTAGTCATGGCCAGCAAGAATGAGAATGTTGAGGAAATAGCTCAGGTCCCCACCTTAGAGGCTGCCTTGGCGATGGTGGGTGGCAACCCTAGTGGAGGGTACGCCTGCTGCAATATTGATCTAAATAACCAGGGTCGCCAGGTCCGTGAGGGCCAGAACTACTCAGCTGAGGCTGTGATTAGGATTCCGAGGCGCCGTTCCTCACAAAGGCGGCGGCGCACCACATTCAAATTCACACTGTGGCAGGTGGAGGAAATGGAAAAATTGTTCAAAGAAACCAAGTACCCAGATACGCTGGCCAGGTATGTGTCTGGCACCACGAGCTATCCCCAACCTCCCTGTTGTCTCAGGTTGAGATGTCCTTTTGTTCTTCCAGGCCCTGGTTTCCTATCATCCCTCCCTAAGCCACTGCTGTCTTCTCCCTCGGTGGTGGGTACAGGAGGGTGCCTTGTGTAGGGGTAAAGGTCAGTACTAGCCTGTAGTGTTGACCTGAAACAAGTGTACATAGTCAACACCACTCGTTTCATATCATGTTTTAATTACTGTACAATATAGAAACATGAGTATAGTGTGCCAAAATACTCACTAGTGTAAAGTTCACCAGTGTTAAGGATTTACACTTTGTTGGGTTACCTCCTCACCAGTAACCTCGTCATCTTTTCAGGGACTGTGTACTTATGTCGGTTTTCCTTTCCCTTCCCCTTGTGCTATTTTTTAAATTAGTATAATTTGCTCAGCATACAATTTGGCATTTATTTTTAATTTTTAGTAGTGTGTTAAAATTATTCATCTGTATTGTTTAAAAATTTTTGTAAGAGGTAAAACCATTTCAGAAGCAAGACTAGTTCTGAGAATGAAAGTTAAATGGGGGTATGAGGGAGGATAGCAATATTAAAAAAGTGTAGTAATCATATATGACTCTGCATTTCATGTAAAACACTGCACACTAAGCATTGGTGGTTTTTCTTCCACAGGAAGGAACTTGCACAAGCTTTGAATATTCCTGAAGTCAAAGTGAAGGTCAGTAAATCCAAGCAAAGCCATTGAACAGTCAATCTACAGCCTTCCTCAGGTCTTGGGAAGCCTTGTCCTAGGCACTTTTTTATTTAAGATATTTTCATTTTTCATACCAACCACAGTTTCCTCTCCCTCCCCATCTCCTGCTCTCACCCCTCACCTCCCCCATCCACTACCACATCTTCTCCTCATAGGGGGTAAGGGCCCCATTGTGAGTCAACAAAGTCTGGTACATTCAGTTGGGGTAGGACCAAACCCCTCCCCTGATGTAATGCAACTCTAGAGATGCTGATGCACTGAGGCTCCAGAGACTGATGCACTGCAGCTCCAGAGACTGATGCATTGCATCTCTAGAGAGGATGTTACCCTGCAGTTCTAGAAAGGATGATGCACTGCTGCTCTAGAAAGGATGGTGCACTACAGCTCCAGAGAGGCTGATGCACTACAGCTCTAGAGAGATTGATGCACTGCAGCTCTAGGGAGGATGTTGCACTGCAGCTCTATAGAGGCTGATCCACTGTAGATCTATAGAATGATGTACTGCAGCTCAAGAGAGGCTGATGCACTGTAGCTCTAAGCTCTAGAGGCTGATTCATTGCAGCTCTAGAGAGGATGATGCACTAGAGCTCTAGAGAGGCTGATGCATTGCAGCTACAGAGATAAGGTGGACACAGGACACAATAGACAATACCCATGCTCTCCTGTTTGCACACTCTTCAGTGTGACTTTCCCAAAGCCTCATTTCTGATTTCCCCTTTCCTCTTACAAATGTAATAGATAGGCTTTACGGAACAAACACAGGGAACTCTGACTTAATGTGAGCCCACATGAGTCAACCACTGGGATATATTGGAGTTCATGGAGGTATCATGATGTTAGTAGGGCTTCTGGTCCATTGGTTGGTCTTCTTTAGACTATACATCCACATAATAGGCAGGGAGGGAAAGTACATGGAGTTACAAATGTGCAGTTTGAAAACTTCCCAATACAATGGACTCTCATTCACTAGGAGCCTGAGAAGATGGTGAAATCTAACAGATAACTGTGACTGTATTTGCATAGGTAGACCATATTTAGGAAGAGCTGATTTATGACTACTTTCCCCACACTGTTGGGGACCATCTTACTCTTTGCCTTTTGAAGAAAGATGGGCTTTAGATGTCCTGGTGACACAGCAGGACCTAGTGTGCCCT